ATAATTATGGCTCTTGGTTATGTGACTAGTCAGTGAAAAAATGAGGTTGTCCTCAGGGGTCTACATTTGGTCCCCTCTTATGGAACTCATTTCAAAGGTCTCCAAATTGATCTTGCTTATATAACTGAGGAGGAAATTTCTATGTATGCAGACGATCATCAAATCTTTGCCTCAGGATTGTCTACTAGTATCGTTGAGGGCAAAGTGATGAGTGAAGGAAAGATCACTTAAGGAAAACTTGCTACAAGTGAATGTTCAGAAATATCAATCCATGTTACTGGGCTCTAGATTGATTTTAGCATGAGAACTATTGAAATCTGTCAAATTATTCGGTCAATACACCTGGACTCTGAACTTAATTTTAGTGAGCACATATGCAGTTGTGTTTGCAAAAAGGCTAGGCAACAGATAGGAGTTTTGAGACGTCTAAAGAAGGTTATACCCACTTATGATAAATTACAACAATACAAGGCTGCCATATTGCCTCACTTGACTTACTGCAGCACTATCTGGCATTTCTGCAGAGCCTCAGAAAAACGTAAACTAGAAATAGTAAAGGAGGGAGCACTAAGTAGTCAACAATGAGTCAGTCTCCTACGGCCGAGGGGGTGGGGGGTGGGGGGGCACTCAAGGGGAGTCTGGGTAGAGCTGTGCCGCCGAGGCCTTCACGGTCCCGACCCTGTTTAAGACAAAAATTGCTCATTTCGCTACCCTGTTTAAGACAGGAGACACTACTTTCTAATCCTAACTTGTTTTGTTGCGTTGTTTTGCATACACAATTAACTAATTTTTATACTAAAATCGTGGAAATAGTTATTTAGGAAAAATTATTGGCATTGCAAACGTAGACCGCTCATCGCAAGTCTTCATACTCTTTGAAAGGCTTCCATTCCCAAAAGGCCCAAGACCTTGAAAACTATACCCTGTTCAGCGGCACATACCCGTATAGGCCAAACAAGGGAGTGCCCCCCGGGCTCCTACGAAGAACCGCTGAAGCTGGCCGAACCCCTTTCACAGTGTCAACAGAAGGCTTCAGGAAATTGCTATTCGGCTCATGTTCAAGGCAAAGAAGAATCAACTTCCAAGTCAAATACAGGAACTTTTTACGCTGAAGGCAAACTGTGATAGGAGCGCCCCCGGGGCCCGGGAGGGCACTTGGGTATTTTTTGGGTAGGTATGTGCCGCCCGGGACTCCAAATTGGCACCCCGTTCTAAAAAAAATTCCCCTAAAATTGATACCCCATTCTAGAAATGGGCCAATTTCTTATACCCCGTTCCAGAATTCGCCCTAAAACTGATACCCCGTTCCAGAATTCGCCCTAAAACTGTGATACCCCGTTCTAGAAATGGGCCAATTTTTTATACTCAGTTCTAGAAAGTTTGTAAATTGAAATAGCCCTGTTTTTTAAAAAGGTATTTCTTTATTTGTTCGACTTATACATCAAATAAATGCTTCTTCATAATCATCCAGAGTACTGGAGCTTTCGTGCGTTCGCAATATTATACCCCGTTCTAGAAAACGCCTCTGAAATGGATACGGGGGCACCCAACGAGGATATAGTTCAAAACCACTTAACATAGCATTGTTGAACGTATTTTAGTATTTAAACGGTAGATATAGGCATATTTTTATCCCCTAAAAACTTTTCATCTGTTCAGATTTCCTAGCTGAAGGTCTAGTGATCCGAAAATTATAGGGATCAAAACTTACCTTTTCGAAAATTTCAGCGAGGAAAAGGCTACCGAAAATTCTAGGTGGCCTTTTTTAGGGTAAATATCCGTTTAAAATGGGTAATTATACCATTTTGTGGATGTTCGAAAATTCTAGGAGAGGCAGGCAAGCAAGAAATTTTACAACAAATGTTCCGAAAATTCTAGTTCTCAAATCGTCTTCCGAACAGATATTTTCCCGAAAATTGCCGTTGGGTGCCCCTGTGGATACCCCGTTCTAAATCAGGAGCTTCAAAATCACGACCCCGTTTGGCGGCACATACCCGTATAGGTAACGTATTAGAGTACCCCCCCTCGGATAGGAGATTCTCTTTAAGCAGAAACTCAGATTTTAATCTGCCTCGTTTTAATAGGTTAAATATGGAAACCATTTATAAGACACTATTGGCCTTTCCTCTGGTCGAAACTTACGCTTACACAGCAATTTTAGTGATTTTAAAACGATTTCGCCCATAACAAATGCTTTGACCTGCCAAAATAATGTCACCGTCAGAATTGTTCAAGCGTAAAACGTGCGAATCAGTCTAGACGAACCGTCGCGCTAATCTTCACTTCACCTTGCTCCTCGTCGCTAGGGACGGCCTGGCGAAACTTCCTTAGCGGCGAGGAGGAAGGAGAAACGGCTGTATTCGCACTGAGGCTGTCACAAACCAGCGCGGAGCTCAAAAATAGGAAATCCGTTCTGTCGAGCAATATAAACACAAAACTGACTTTAATTTGAACGAGTTAAAAGGCTTCACAAACGGCACTAAACAAGTTTAGTAAAATATATGTTGATTACAAGTGCAGAAACATAAAGGCGGTAACGCAACAGTTTGTCTCGACAAACTTGCATGTTTCACGCTTGAACAAACGCGTAAAAGAATTAGATATTCAAGTTCCGGGGGTGTACTCCTGGGAATTCTTGGTGGGGATGTGCCGCTCGGTTCTCCAAATCCTGACCCTATTTCACACCAAAAAAATATTATTTTCCACACCCCTTTTGAGACCAGACCTCTAAAATCCATACCCGTTTTCAGACCTGGCCTTTAGTCAGAAATTATGTTATTACTACTTAGATTAGAGCGTAAACAAAAAATTCTACAAATTCATTTCGAATTCGCATATTTCGCTTCTTCTTACTCGTTTGGAATTGAAACGATAAATACGTTCATACACTGCGGCGTAGTTCCCTCAAAAACCATACCCGATTCCAGACCAAAATGGGCAAAGTGAATACCCGTAGACCAAAACGGCGCAAAAACCCTACCCGATGGGACGGCACATGGCTATATAGCTTAGTAAGGGTGTGCCCCCCAGGACTTATCTGTGGAACTGTACACCACGGAACCTGCGGAACCTAAAGAAATGACATGGGTTTGGTGAGACAGTGCGTGTAACAGAGTGAACACGTTGTCTCTCCTTGTTGAGGAAAGTAAGATTGCATCCACATCTGTAAAGGAGTACAAGTTCGTTATAAGACGTTTCTTTCAGTGGAGTATAACATATACAATATACGTCGTATTCTGCATGAGGGCGAGGCTGAATGGAATAGCTCGTTTGGGGTGACGTGATCAGCGTAAGAGGCTCTGATCTTTCTCTGTCAAATTCCAATACAGTCTGTTGGTTTACATAGAACTCAAGATTAACGGTTTTCCGATCAACTGGGAATTACCTGAGGATGCAATTCATTGACTAAAAAGCGTTTTTACATCCCCCAATATAATGTATACTTCTTAATGGAAATTGGAGTTCATATTACGTGCACCAGCCACAATTTGCAATTATCTAATAATCAGCCAATTAAAAGGTCATAATACCACGGTCCACATTAAAGATTTCATCAAACCCCGAGAGGTTATCGTTCACTTTGTATTGAAGTCAGAGGGGATATTCAAACGTACCTAAAAGGTTAGTAGTGTCTTATTAAGTAAGCTGTTATAAGAGCAAAATGATAAATATACAAAGATACCAACGTTTTTAAAATTCCAGTGGCGAATCCAGGGAAGGGGCCCGGGGGGAATGGGCCCCCTTATTTTTAGACCAAAATGAGGCCCCAAGGCCCGAAAAAATTTTTTTTGAGACCGGGCCCCCCCTTATCTCAGGGTCTGGATGACCCCTCCCCCCTCCCCCTTATCTGAAGGTCTGGATCCGCCACTGAATTTAGTCCACAAAATCATCACTGGAAATTCGAATTTTAGAAAAAAAGAAAAATTGCTGGATTTATTCGTTAATGGAATAGGGGCCTTGAGGTATGGTTGAAATTCGTTTTGTCAGGGGCACCCAACTACTGTTTTCTATAAAATACAAATTATGTTCGAAGAAGCACCTATTGCTCAGAAATTTCTATAGCTTGAGAAAAACTAAACATTATTGTCCTATTTGTCTTTCGTATTTTCATCAACTTTCCTGAGATTTTAGGATATTTGGCCGGTTTTGTATTCATAAAAAAGGAGCCCTAAAATTTTCGGCTTTGGATATATTGACAGAAAGGGCTATTAGAAAATTCGAGTTCTCGCAAACCTTTTAATAGCGGATAAGTAAGATTTTCAGAAAAACAATGAGCAAGTCCTAATGATTCGAAAGGCTAAGGCGGCCAAGGATGACCGAACAGATACAAAATAAGCTAAAATATGGAGCTTCTTGTAAAATTACTTCAGCTGGCCGTAAAATGGTTTCTTAAGCAATTTGAAGAAAGTCGTCGTTGGGTGCCCCTGATATGTCATTTACAACTAAAAAAAACAGTAAAAAAAGGCCTGAGAAGTGCATTAACTACTGATTTACCCACGGGTAAACACTGGCGATTCCACTTATTGCACAAGTTGAATCCGAAACCTACAGGTTCCCTCTTTTGAACGAAAAAAAGGCTAACCTGGGCAGTGGAAAAGTAAAATAATAAACGTAGAAAATCGTAGGGAAATGAACACTTCGAAAATTGTTCATGAATGGAACGGTCATCTAGGAATTTTTAGCCGTCCTCAAGTGATAGAAAATTCTTAGGTAATGGGCCCTTTCCATCCAATCAATCGATAGAAACCGATTGATAAAGGAAAACTTATCGATAAATTGATAATTGTCTATAATCGCTTTTTGATTTTATCGATTGTATCAGTCAGGAGGCCAGACCCAACGGAGCCGCTCGACAAAATACCCGCTTTTCAGGTAAAATTACCTGAGGAGGCAAAACATTTAACTAAAAAGTGTTTTTACATCCCTCAATAAATAATGTAGACTTCTTAATGGAAATTGGAGTTCATATTACGTGTACCGGCCACAAATGGTCTTGTGATGACTATATCAAATAATCATTACCACCGTCCACATTAAAGATTTCATCAACACCCAAGAGGTTATTGTTTACGTATTGAAGCCAAGAAAGCCAAGAAACACGCCCAACTGCAAAAGGTTAGTAGTATCTTACTAAGCTGTAATGAGAGCGGAATATACAAATGTACCAACGTTTTATTCAGTCCACTGAGTCATCACTGGAAATTCGAATTTTAGAAAAAGAGAAAACTTGCTGGATTCATTTGTTAATGTAATAGGGACTTGAGGTTCGGTTTAAATTCGTGTATGTCAGGGGCATTGTTTTCTGTAAAGTATATGTTCGACGAAGCACATATTGTTTGGAAACTTCTATAGCTTGAGAAAGGCTGAAGATTATTGTCCTATTTGCCTTTCGTATTTGAAAAACACCAGAGTAACCAAAGTATAGAGTAATTTCACAAGCGCGCATTGGATCTCTTATTGATCGTTTTCACTGAAACGCCCGTGGCCCCTGGCCTGCGCATACACTTTTACAGGGCTAAAATTTTTTACTTTCCTTGTCAACTTTCTGGACTTTCTGGTTTGCCCTGCTTACGCGACATTGTTTGGGACAAACCAAATTGCAATCACAGGGGCCATGTTGCTCGTGTGACTTTCAAGAGTTCAATCTTAGGAGAAGACAAGCAGCACTTAAAAAGCGATCCAAAATAATTTCTTGTGGACATAAAAATAAAATCATGATCTGAAAACATTCATTGAACATCCCACCGGTTTTGTTTGACTGAGCAATGTGCAAATCAACAAAACTTTGTTGTTCATTAGGGAAAAAATGACCTAATAAACGTCCGGGGCGTCTCTAGACGTTTAAAAGAGAGAGACGTTTAATCTCATAACTGTAACAAGCTCAACAAAACTAATATGCTTTGGGCGAAAAGATCAATCGGAGTTTAAAAATGTCGGAATATCCATTCCATCAACTGATACGTCTATGCCGTCAAGACAAATCCCATAACGTCGATGTCAGAATGCTCGCTCAGGGTTATTGTGTTGCTATCATTAGTCTATCCTTACTCTAAACTTAACATTGAACAAGATGAAATACGCAAAGTCTGGTTTGTTAATCGAAGGAGTAATCTAGTATTTTGGAGTAATTCCCAAAGGGGGCGTCTATTACAGACGGGCGTTTAATAAAATTTAAACAGCGTAGAAGGGGCGTTTGTTAGATAAGAGGCGTTTATTTGAAAATGGGTGTTTATTGATTAGGTCATTTACAGTAGTCTTATTTCCCCACTAATTCATAGTTGCACAAATCTGGTTGTACACGGTTTTGCGCGCGCAAAATTTACCTTAACCCTTGTAATATTGTTCATGCATCAACGAGAAACCTTTACAATGTAAATATATTTGTTTTTTCTTCGTTTTATAACATTCTTTTATTAACAGTGAATTATCTTCGAAAAGAACTTTTAAAGTGTCTCACAATATAAGGAAATCCAAGACAGTCTTGGATTCTGGATTCTACGACGCGGATTCCAGACTCAGGTACTCGATTCCAGTCTCTGACAGCGGAACTTGGATTCTGGATTCCAATCGTCAGTGGGATTCTGGATTCCTTGAGCTGTCTTCTGGACTCCAAAGACCAGGATTTCGGATTCCACAAGCCCTTACATGGGTCGAAAAGTGTGAGAGTTCATTTAAGAGCACTAACATTGTTCAAAGATTAGGTGTCATCGGTGGCCTCACGCCAGCACCCAGATAACCTATAAAGATCAAATCCAAAAATTCAAACAGGCATTTCGATTTCTATATCAAACGCAAAACTACTACTTAACACAAAGTTTCACATCCCACACAATTAACACTATTCTAATACGGTCTGTTGGTTTGCACAGAGCTCACGGTTGACTGTTTTCTGATCCACATGAATTCCCTGAGGATGCAATTCATTAACAAAAAAGCGTTTTTACATCCCTTGATAAATAATGTAGACTTCTTAATGGAAATTGGAGTTCATATTGCGTGTATCGGCCACAAATAGTTGTGATGACTATATCAAATAATCATTACCACTATCCACATTAACGATTTCATCAACACCTAAGAGGTTATTGTTCACTTTGTATTCACGACGTCAGAAAGCGGGGACGACACGCCCAAAAAGTTAGTAGTATCTTATTAAGCTGTTATGAGAGCGGAATACACAAATGTACCAACGCAGGAGCCTATGACCAACGTTTTATTCAGTCCAGAAAGTCATCACTGAAAATTCGAATTTTAGATTTAAACAGGAGAAAAATTACTAGATTCATTCGTTAATGAAATGGGGCCTTTTAGCATTTTTAGCTTAAATGCTTCAGTTTAAGTGCCTATTCGGTCAGGGCCACCCAATGATTGGTTTTGTGAAACATCTGTTCTAGGAAGCACAATACTGTCTCGAAATTTCTATAGCTTGAGAAAGGCTAAATATGATTGTCTTATTTGTCTTTCGTTTTTGAGAAACACTAGAGAAACAAGAGTTTAGAGGACTCTTGGAGTAATTTAACTAGCGCGCATTGGATCTCTCACTGGTCTACTTTTCAGGCTAAAATTTGGCCAACAGTATTTAAGTAAGCGGGCCGTAGATATCAGATATCAGTGAATCAATCTCGATGAAAGTTTCAGACCTTATTATATACTCTATGAAGATTATTTGAAGAGATTTTAAAAAAATTCGTTCGAGTCGTTTCAGCGATATACAAAAAAGCGCTAAAAGTCCAAATTTTGAATGAAGTTTCACTTATACAGGTGGAGAGAAAACGGGTTACTTTTCAAGATCGCAAGAATGAAAATACACCAAAATTTCCGAGCATCAAAATATGCATGATATTAGGCAACATTCTGACGCTACTTAAGAATAATTTGAGTCATTTATAACGTTTTTATTAAATAATCTATCACGGCTATTGAAAATTTAAGGTTAGAAATATATTTTCGTTTTAGTCGAATTCAAACATACAAAATTTCTTACTTCTTACGGACATTGTTTGCTAAACACCAAACTTTGAGTTCCAGCCTAGTGTTGGATTTTCAGTAGCTGGTCTAGATTGCCCAGTACCCCAATAACCTAAATCCAAAACACAAACCATCAGATAGATTCAAACAGGCGTTTCGATTTCTATACCATCACTATTCCAATAAGGTGGTATGTTGGTTTACACAGAACCCAAGTCAAGGTTGACGGTTTCTGATCCACATTAATTCCCTGAGGATGCAACTCAAGTTCAAAAGCAACAAACCTTGAAACACAGAAACTCCTAGACTTGCTACAAGTTGACCTCTTGGCGAGCGGAGCGATCCTTTTTTGGCCGCGAAGCGGCCGAACGCGAGCGACGAAGGGCTTTTTTGAAAGTCTAAGAAACACCGGCACAAAACAGATCGTAATCCACCAATCACAAATCAAAAACCATGATCTATTGACTGGCCTTTGGAAAACACCTACAGTAGTTTTCTAAGAGGTCAGCTAAGATGTAAAGGCCAGTTCAGATTTTGATTGACGTCGCAGAAAACCCCAAACTCCGAACACGTTTTTGACATCACCGGTCGCGTGCTATCCGAAACAACTAGTCGCTTTTCAGTCAAAGCTAAGGAAACGAGAATGAAACGAGTGTTCCACGAACCACACTTTCGGACATAATCTTCCCGTATCTTAAGTTTTCGCAAAAAGAGTGCTTACTTTTTTTTTGGTTGACTTGAAAAAAATAGTGCCTTTTTTTTCTCTTTTGGAGGAAAATGCTTCGTGGTACTTTCACTGGAAATTTAATACTCGCAACTGAGCATGAAACTCCCAACACATAACAAGCAATAGCCAGTTCACAAAACCGGCTCTAATACCCCGGCGTTATACTTTGATAGACTGTGGTAGCGTACTTTTTGGCATATTGGGGACCTTCAGATCTGAGGTCGGCGAGGCAGCGAAAACCGCTCGCTGAAAAAGTGAATTTGCGTTCTTTCAATCTTCATAACGATCATGACTCGAAGTCACTAACTTTGTCAAATGTAGGTGAACTCACCTAAACGTTGAATTCCTAATATAAGAACCACATCCAAGTTCAGAAAGAGAGAGGAAATATCGTCGTCGCTCGTGTACTTCTTCTGTAGAATGTGACGTCGCAGTCGTGCAGTGACGGAAAAGAAATGTACAAAAAGTGTGACGCACGTCAGGGTAGTTGTTTTGCTCATTCAATGGAACTAAAAAAAATTGCTTTTTTGACGTTTTCGTTGCCGTCGCCGTCGTCGTTAAGGTCCCTAAACAGTAATTACGAGCATAATTTCTGTCTATTTTCCACTGCCAGCATAATTTACACTTTTAACAAGTTTTGCAGCACAGAATTGTCATTTAAAGATCATGCCTGGGGGGTACTCCCCATAACAGCCTATACGGGGAGGCTCCGCCCGAAAGGGGTACCTTTTTCAGGTTTCAGGTATATGAAAGTGTAGGGATTTTACTCGTTGAAGTATACAAAAGGGTAGGGAAATCTGTCATTTGGGTTTGTGAAAGGGCCCAAAAGGGCTAACAGATTAATTATATGACTTCATAAAGTCGAGAAAACGTTCTTTTGATTTCTGTTTAAAAGACAGTGCATTTACAGCAGTTAAAAGGGATACAAAGTTCTAAGCAAGGTTTGTGAAAGGGGTACCTTTTTCGTGAAAAATGGTATATCATAAGGGTGAGGGGTTGGACCTTCCACCAATAAGAATTTGTTGAGTACCCCACGGGGATCATGCAGCCAATTTTTTGTCGGCCCGAGATCACTGTTATAGGCAAATTTAACTGAGAAGCAAAATCTATTTTTGTCTGCCTATTGTCACATTCATGGGACCTAGGTCAGTGACCCTGGACTTTTTATAATATGCACTATAGAGCCTATTCACTCACGTGGCCAGCATCTGTGCTAATTTATACGAACATACAAAGTTTTTACATAAGACAAGAGTTCTATAAACATCTTCTTGTATGTTGTGTTTTCCCAATAGCCGGTCCCAGGGGAACTTGGCCTATTGTCTTTTCATAAATTACCGTAAACGATCTAATAAACGCCCAGTCTCAAATAAACGCCACTTATCTAATAAACGCCCCCCCTTACGCTGTTAAGTTAGTATTAAACGCCCCCTGTCTAATAAACGCCCCCCTTGAAAATTGCCCCCAAATACTAGGAAATGGTGAAATAGAGCGAAATCAATCAATTTATTAATTTCACTGCTTGATTAACATCAGTTTGTGTATTATGTCATGTTCAATTTCTAAATAAGCCGTCAGGCCCGCAGTCGAGATTCTGAAAGGTTTTTAGCCGAAAGCATACTGTATACAGTTATGTTGAGTTCGGGTTAAAATAAGTTACGAGAATAAACGCCTCTCTCTTTTAAACGCCTCCCATCTATTAAACGCCCCCACTTGGACCCCTAAAATTAAATTAACGCCCCGGGCGTTTATTACATCATTTACGGTAGGTGTTATGAAGAAAGAGTGTAGCGTGACTGTGAGATGGCGTGATTTTACGATATACGTAGCGTGATGCACGTGAATAAGACAAAATATGAAAGAAACGGTTCCCGAGAGTATTATCACGTGACCTGTATTGGGAAAACAAAACATACAAGCTAGAAAGGTCTATTCCTACAGGGTTGTCTTGGTACACCAACATGGCCGCCGTTTCATTGTTTTGTAACACCAATATGGCCGCGGTGACGAACTCCATAAAACTTACTATTGGCAACAATTGCCTGTTTTTAAATCGCAACCCTTTTTGAAGTTAAAGTAGATACTGTGAACGACAGCAACACTCTCTTGTTTCAAAATGCAGCTATTTTGACAACTTACAAGTAACCGGGAGCACTGAACCTGTCGCACGAGTTACAATCCTGGGTCATAACATCGTATGCATACATACATGACAAGCAAAAAAACTCTGTACTTTTATTCTACGACAGGATTTAAAATGAGCTTGGTTAAGCTGGTGATCGTTCTGTTTTCCATTCTGCTGATAACCCAGTTAATCTTTGGGTCTCACTTGAAGCACGAACATGTTAAAAGGAATCCTGGATCGTCTACCAATGACACTGAGGTAAAATATATTGCATGTCTTTAAAATAAGTTACGGTCAGCGCGAAAGTCCCGAGCTAACTCAAGTTAATTAAGGCATGGGTCAACAGCTATTATCCCGTAAAAATGAAGGGGGTGATTTATAATTTGAACTGTTTATCATGAAGCACATAATACCAAAAAATATTATAAACCACAAAAAAATTATACTTCAGAACGCAAAAATATTATGCAAATTACGTAAGGTGACCTTACGTCTCCACAAAGTCTCAAAACATCTTTAAGAAAAAATGGCCACACTTTTTTGCAGGAGATACAACGAAATACAAAATAAGCCGCTACAAAACTGCTCTTGGCAACTTTGAAATTTCTCGTTCATTTTGAAAATAAACGGGTTTTCCAACTAGTACCCAGCCTCCTAAAACAAGTGTATCATTATAACACGCTTTTCCTTTAAAAAAATCTTGACATTGCCAAGCGCAGAAATGACATACGTAACGGCCTTAAAATCATTAAACTAGTAGAAAAATTAAGGAAACAAGAAAAAGTGTGCCTATTTTAGTTCAAAGCTTTTCTGAGCGTGGCGAGTCACGTGACCTCATTTACATATTTGGTGTAGCCTAAACGGACAAAAACTAGCAGTGTATGTGTCTGACAAGTTTTCAACCTGCTACTGCTAATGCATCGAAAGATAGACAACCCCCTCACTTTTCGACTTAATAGTCAACTGTGGACTCCCGGCATGCGTTAATTAACCTGAGAAAGTCAATTTTGATGACTTATGTTTAAATCGAACTTCTTAAACTTATTGAACCTAAAGACCCTCTCAAAGAGACGACACTTCCATCGTTGCATTATGATGCTATAATACCTGTCAGGGGAAATTTGACATCAGGCGCAATAGTAGTTTTCATTTTTATCAAAGTCGCAGAAGCAACGATTTACCCCTTCTTCGCTTGCGCACCAATTGGGGCAAGCAAACTTTCATATTTCAAGCCTCCAAGGACTGGAACAACCTAGACAATGACATTAAAAACAGTAATTCATTGTCCTTAGTTTAGGTAAACCTTAAAACTTTGCAAATAAATCCCCCATCTAATTTTCACTATTTCAAAATAATTTAGTTTTATATGTTAATATCAATTTTAATGAGTGATTGGAAATCAGATGGAAACTGCTCAATTTTTGCATCCTTTATTTTTCTTTCTAAAATCACTTTGTTTGCGACGTTTTTTCAAGCATTCAACACAGTGTTCTGGGCGTAACCACTCGAACAGTTGGGTAACCTTACTTTATCGAACCCAAACGAACTTAATCGAACGATCGATTTCGGTAAAAGAACTTTACACAATCGAAGAAAAAAGTTTGCGTGAGTGTTCGATTAAGTTCTTTTTCCGAATTCAATCGAACCAGTCTCGAAACCAGTCAAAATTAACTTATTATATAATCGAACGTCTTAACCAACACTTTTAAAAAATACACAAGGATTCTCTGAAAAAATCTTTTTCAAAGAACCAAAAAAGAGTCAGGTGAAACGAACAATAGATTGATTGCATAAAAGTGGAGGAGTTCTGAACGAGCTGGTGCGATTGACGGTGTTAGTGGGTGCAGGAACGCCTGAGGAACCCCTATGAACGTCTGTGGGGAGTGTGATAACACCCCAGGGAGCCCACATCACACAATCTGTGTGTAACCGATTGTTTTTTATAGTAAATGTACTGGATTTACCGTTTGCTTAATCTAATGCGATATATCGCTGTAGGTATGTTAGTATATAAATCACTGCCAAATAAGCGTTGAACTAGTACCTGCGGTATATTGTCGTGCAAAACACCGTTTTTGAGGCAAAAGTTCTTTGCGATTTGTCCTCAAATAACCAACCTTGATTACAATGTTCAGCTTGGCGAAGTGTAAATGTCAATGAATACAGCCCCTCCGATTTCATTTCTGAGCCTCAAATGTATTGAAACACACAGAGGAAAAATTAGTGACAAAATACTCATTCCAGTTTGTATTTAGAAGAATGACCTTAATGGACATACTTTCCTTCACAGATACAGGGGCGACAGGGCTCGTCCTTGATCTCTCTGAAAGAAGGCGAGGAGAAAAACAAGCGAAAAGGTAAACTATGTGTTGACGTTTCCTGAAAGTCCAGGGAACAGCTGTTCAGTGTGGACCAAACTATTCATCACATTTGATTTAAGACCACAGTAGTGTCATGATGTTCCATTTTTTGCAGACCCCAACACCTTGCTGTGTTTTACAGTATGTTGTAGTATGGTTATGGTAGTATGGCTTTTCAGATCACATGCATTCATCCGTTTTTGATTACATTGTTTATATCGCGGTTATGTCACATTGAATACATAATTTAATTCATTATTTGCAAATGCAATAAATAGCCAAATTAATCTATATTTTCATTGGCCGATCATGTAATTATTGTTGATGTCTTGTTAAATACTATGGGGTTGTGTTGGAGCAACTCGCTCGCTACACGATGAGGTACCAGGAATCTGATTTACATCTTGGCCTTTATTCTTCTTAATCTTCTTACATCTTCTGCTTACTCTACTTCTCCTCTACTTTTCTCTACGTCTCCTACTTATAGTAGCCGTTTTAATAGCCAAAGCTGGATATGTTTGGGTTAGCTGACCGGAAGAGTTTCTATTGTATATCTTATCGCTAACATTGCAACAGGTTTGCTATTGTTAAGGAATAGACTAGCCTACGCACAGCCGCAACTGATAAGTACCAAATAACGAAGGTCAGCTCTCACACCACAAACACGATCACCTGTAAAAAAACTAACATCTGACAATGCCAAGCGAATAACATTCCCAATATGGCAATGAGCAAATTCGCGAGCTAAGCATGAATTCAAGTACAAGTAAAAACAAAAGATCAAAGCACGGAAACAGTACGTGGACAAAAACAAGACTTGATGAAACAAAAACTAAACTTAAAAGATAAGATAGATCTGTCTTAAAAATAACTTTCAAAATACTCCACAACAATACACAATTTCAATAAACTTGTTTCTGATCAACAACAGTCTATTTACACCAGGGCAGCACTCTTTTACCTAGAGTTACACTAGTAATTGGTACAGAAGGAAACAATCGCATCAAGCCTTTGAGATTTCTTTAATAAACAATTATTCTGCAAGAAAAGATTACACAATGTTCCAATTGGTTCCAAAATCTAAGCTAAACTGGAATCACGAAAGCATAAAAATTGGTCAAATCATAAAACAAACACGATACAAAGAAAAAGAAACAAAACATTATCGCACCTGAAGAGTGGATCTCTCTAGCTTGTAAGAACTTGAGCATCAAAGAAATAAAAACTATTCGTTCGTGTCCATAGGCTTATCGTAACTGAAAAACTAAACCTAAGAAAGTTCACTAAAAGCAAGTTAAATCAATCTATAAAACTGTCAATCAACGAAATCGGCGGATCAGCAATCAATCACAACTCATGATCAGTTCAATGTAAGTCACGTAAGTTCCAATACATTTGGCGGAAACTTTGGACGTTTAGACCAGTAATAAACTGCTAATTGTTCTTGGATCACTCATGAATCATCACCATCATCATCATCTTTGAAGCTTGTGGTTGTGACCGAAGCCTGGGTTGTCTGCGTTGCCCGGTAGGTCTGCATAAGCATCGTCTTAGTTATCCCTGACGTAGTTATTGTACACATGTAGATACCCTGAGTGGTTGCAGTAGAAATAATGGCCTGTTAGGGCAAAACAAAACTAAACCAAAACAAAAAAAAAGGATAATTATAATTCTAAAAAAAATAAATACAAGAAAATTCAGGGAATGAAGACATTTTTAAGAGGTGTTTTTTTTTCATTTGAAAGATTGTGTACTTTTCGAGCAGTCTTAAGGAAAGAGATATGCCCAAGCAATTTAAATGGGGAACTTACTTTCTGACATATCTGTTATACAAAAAACAAAAACAAAAAAAAAACAATTTTCGCTAAAATAAGTACCTGTACTTTTCTGTGTATTTTCTACACATCGGTATCCCGTTTTGGTAAAACCGTTTTGGCCAGTTGAATTTGGCGGACAGGGATTCCCAAAACAGGCATTCTGAAAAGTAAAAAGATACAAACGCTACAATCGGCGGAAAGGAAAAAATGAATAAACCTTCCTTAAAACTGCTAAAACATACATGGCTATTGAAATTTCTCTCTTACAGTCTTGTTGTTGATGAGCATGTTTTTTGTTTCATTGTTATTTTTTACCGAACATTTACTGAATACGTTGCAGTAGATAGACTATCATAAGTTTCTCACTGTATATTAACCACGTCCCCCCTCCCCACCTCCACCACCACCACAAAATAATAATAATAATAAAATAAATAAATAAGAAACGCTTTTCATAACTTCAGATGTCAGTTTGAAATAAGCGCGCGTATTAGACTGAACTCCGCTCTCGTAGATGGTTTTTTGGCTGCCTGAACAAAGTTTTCCTGGAAAGCATCTTTACGCCTTATGAAGGAACAAGACTTACGATTGGCAAAGCTTGCAGCCCTTATCTGCATTTCCTTTAGAAATGCTTGACGCTACCTATACTTGGGTGCTTATCTTCTGTTGTGCGAAGTTTCATAGAAATTTATAAGAGGAATTTTGACATATCTTGGAAATTCTACAAAAAGGGCACAAATTATGCATGAACTGAAGACTGTACTCAATGCAGACAAATTTGCTACTTTTTGGATGTTTCTGAAAAGTTTTGATCACTCATTCATTTTGACAATCATACACTCTAACCGGCTAAACGCAAGTAGACTTAAGTTGGGCGATTTCGAAAAACACGAAAATAAGTAAATCAGCTTAAAACGCAACGCTGAGCTGTTTTTGTAATTTTAAAGGCTAACTTCACGAAAACAGCGATTAAACCAAAATTCATCGATAGACTTTCTTTAAAAACGTTCAGTGCTGCAATTAATCAGTTTACTATCCCAGTATTCCGTGTCCATTGAAAATGTTTTAAGTTGTTTAACGTAGGCGCAAATTTGAGTAAATATTAAAGCGATGTCAGAGTTGTTATTAGAACTTTGGTTTTGGATTTTCTGTTGTCTTAAGTTTCGCATAACATCAAATTCCCATGCAGCACGCGGGAATTTAGCGCGCTTAGCTGCCCTCTAAAAAAAATGAAGACACACTTTGGATGGTTTATATAATTATATGATAGGTTTCATTATTTATAAATGTGCTCTTTATTTTCTGGACAGAAGTGGAGCTAAAATTAGGAAAAAGTTTCGTTAAATTTGTGTAATTGTAATTTATGATAATTATTTCAGCTGGCTAATTTGAGAAAAAATTCCACTTAGGAAACATGAATTTCTAGAAGGTTAAAAGAAAAATTTATGAAAGATCCAAGTCTCAAAACTGTGCTTAAAAAGAAAAAAAAACTGTTTCCCTTTTTGCTAAAATCTCGATAATACGAAAATAGCCTGCGTTGTCTCTGATCTTCCAGGATAGTCTATATTCATTAATTGAGGTGCAAAGACATCATCTGTTGTGCGCAATTATACTGAAAGATTATTTCTATTATTGGTCTGTATTACCTTTTCGTAACAGTTCTTATAATAAATCTCCCTTTTATTTATTGAAAGCTTCATTTTTAAGTTTAGAATGTTTGATTAGTGAACATATCGGATGAAGCTATTGTGTGTTTTCACATGACGTCATGGCGGCCATATTTGTGTCCCAAAACAATAAAACGGCGGCCATGTTTGTGTCCCAAACCAGTCCTGTGGGAGTTGAACTCTTTTCTTATGCAAACGCTTTCTTTTGTTCCAATACATTTGCATAGATGCCGGCCACGTGAGTGAAAACACAGAATAGGGCACGGGTAGAAAGGATGGAACTAACGGAGAAAAATCAAATGCACGGCATGTGGTTGTCCTTTTATTGACAGCTTACTGCGGCATAAAGGTTTGCCTGGTAATATGACTTTTTGATCTGAGCGGTTTGGTATTTTCGCTTCAATTACTTATCAGTGCTTAGTAACAAAATGAAGGCGTTTTTGTAATTTTTTTTTCTTTTTTTTATTGAGAGGGAAAAGCAGGAAAGTAAAAACATTTAATCGGAACACCAATAGAAATTTCAAAACAAAATAAAAGTCAATCTTTGAAAGAAAAAAGGTAAACAAGAACAAATTTTCCTACGAACAATGTTTGCATTGTCTACTGATACCGATTAGTTTATAAACTCTCAGTGATCTTGGTGATTTAAGCAATCTGATTGGTTCGCGATCTCGAACTATTCAACAACATTCTCCCCGAGCGAGTGGAGGTTGGTGTTTCCCTCTTTTTCAAAGAAGGATGTTTTGAAATTCCACACAATCCTAGGGTGGATCTTTTTTTTTTTATGACAAGAGAACACTCTGAAGGATTCAAAGCGGCGTTTTTCCATTTACTTAATAAGCTGATTTTTTCTTTTGCTCGAGGGTCATGTAATGTTTACAACTACTGTGAAAGGTTTGAGCCCAGGAGTGATTTCATTAGTAGACTGAGTATGATCGTCCGGGTGAACGTAGTTCTGGATAGGACTGTTTTCATTGACAGTGACTGACGTTTCCACAGCCCGTGCGGTATCTAGTATATATCTGTCTTGGTATCTAGTTGGAATTTTTTTCTCTTGCAACTCGGTACACGCTAATTCACATACCAAAACAAAGCCCAATAATTTTTCTCCCACTGCTATATAATTTCTTGTTGTACCGATTTGCACGAGACTTGCACTAAACATAAAAGGAGAAAATTACACACCTTTTTTGCATGTCCTCTCCTCGCATCCAGCGATCGCAACGCCGATCTCGGTTAAATGGATCGCGCCGGTGTGTTTGTCTGACAGTTCCAGGATGCATTATCTACTAGACAACACATATCACTAAAAATTTCGACCAAAATAATTTTCGATCTCTCACAGTGGCAAGAAAATCACAACACGACCACTTACGAAAAAAGCTGCCATTTCTTCTTTCATCTTGACAACATTTCGCGGGGATTTTGCCTCTAAGCCAATGACTTTGTCGGAAATCGACCACGTGATTTTTGTCGCGGCGCATGCGTAGACATCTCTCGCCAGTGAAGGTCTGGCGAACCTTTTTTCAAAATTAGCTTTTGGTGAAAAAATCCTCTTCCATCGACCCTAAGACGCCCGAGAAAGCTATTATATCAGTATTCAAGAGCTATTTGGTCCACTTTGGAAGTTTTAAACGCCATATTTTGTATTTTAGTGCAAGCATTGTCGAGAAAATTCGCGGAAGTCATTGAGGAGAAGTGTACGAAGGCATATTATTTGTTTTCAGTGTTCCTATGTGGCGTTTAATGTGGTCATCTGGCTTTCATTTCTGTCTATTAAGTTCTCCAGTCAACGATCTACCTTTTTTTCGGTTAGGTTTTAAACGTTAAATATGTAAAGAAAGTTGAAAAGGGTTTCCTCGATACAGCCGTGGACTACAAATGGGAAGCAGCGGCGAGTGAACCTGATCTGCCACATGACTTCCGATTGTCTGCAACAATTTACTCTCTTGAGTGCTTGGAATCAGAAGAAGAAACCCAGCAATCTTTTATTGTACAGGAAGTCGTGTGAGGTTTGAGGATAGAATCCATCGAACATGAAACGTTTTATCAAGCATTCGATTGATGACTCCGATCTGTATTTGTATACCAGAAAGTAGGCTGATTTAGCAACAGAACGGGAACGTCATTTGACGACGGCGCGCGCAAATCAATCAAATAGCTTGATCAATGGCAGAGCGAGAAATTGGGAACCGGAAGTCTAGTTTAGTCGTTTTCGCGCGCTTTCCCGTCGTCAAATGACGTTCCCGTTCTGTTGCTAAATCAGCCTAGTACTGACAACAGGCCGCGCGATCTTTACCGATATGGTTCACTCTGAATGTTCCTTGTATCTTTGCTGTATGAACGTAAATGTTTAAGAACTGATCTTATAAAAAGAAATTGTTGCCTGAATGTTCCGTTTATTATCTGTTTTTTTGTGTGTGTGTGTGTGTGCTGAACTCGGTAACGTCTGAGTTACAGTGCGTTTCATGCAGAGTGTTCATCTTCCTAGCCGAACGCGACTGGCATATTTATTATAGTGCGTATTTAGCTGGCATTTTAAGCAAAATGTTTTGCCTAATTCGATACTGGGTGTTTTGGTCACCGGTCAGGCGCAGGATCGAGATAATGTAGCTGTTCGGTGCCTATTAGCAATATCGGTCATAGCTACACTTTTCAAGACTGGAATTGCCTTCGATACTTGATCGAAAGGATACTATGCCTGTAGATTGGCTTATGAAAAATACAGGCAAATTGCTTGAAGAGGATGAGAGGCTAATCTAACCAATTTGTTTGGGAGATATGATGATTGTTTTAAATCAATTCATAAGATAGAGACGAAGAAATGAGCAACCTACGCTTCTGTTACTAGGGACATATAGTCACTATACCATTGAATATATTTTATAAACTTGCATTGGCATTCAACAGTGATTTGTATTGATTTAGCTGAATCAAGGCCAACATTAAAGGAATAGAGTTTAAACCTGTTTGCCTTCTTTATTTCTCACAGGCAGGAGAATTATGACAGACAAAGTTTAGGGAACCTTGATTATATAAATATTTTTTTCAGTTTTTTTTTCATATTTTGGTCTGAGGTATACCTAGTCAAGCAAATAATGATCTTGCCTAGATATATTAACACAGGCTTCCTATTATAAAAAATATATATATCTATATATATCGATACAGGTCAAAATCTATTCATGGGTCAAAACTAAAATTCCCATTGCTACGAACTAAATATCACACATTGCTTAAATGCAAAACAAAAGAAAAAATAATAAATAAAAAATAATAATAAAGATGATAAATGAATGAATAAATAAGTAAATAAAAATGAAATCGAACTACAATATTTAAACAATTGATTTATTTATCACATAACCAAAGAAGGCCAGACATGAGGAGTTGCCTCCCTGCCTAATTTAAATTTGGCAGTCAAAAATAGAAATGCTAATAATAACAATATTCTATATTATTGCGTAGATCAGGTATTATGATAAGTGCTTATGGGCACGAAAATGAAGGGTAAACAAGCGTCTTAAATCACTGATTCTTTTCTTATTATTCACTTTGCTCGGTTTCCTTTGTTCTTTTCAGGGAAATACATGCATACTACACTAGTAATAGTTGACACTACAGCTGCCGAGGCTCTGTATGTTGTCGGTCAATAGTATTATTGGTCTTTGGGCACTTTGAAATGTACCGATTCATAATGAAGATTTTCACACATATTCCATACACTGTAGGTGGGATAAAAACAGGAAACACAAGGGTCCATGCACTGATTCAGTTCGATTTACGCAGCTTTGATCAAAACATTCTCAGTTCTCAGGAGAGGGGGTGGGGGGGTGTTCTCCGCGTAAACTTTAGAATTTTAGTAGGTGTTGTAAAAATGGCTAAAAATGCATCCATAAAATAATTATCATCCTTCATTGTAGTGTACCGACTCTTTTATATAATTATATATTGTCATTATAGCTTGCAATAGTTGGAAAGCTGGAACTTCTTTGTATTGGAAAAGACAAAAATGGCAAATTGTCCAATATCAAAATTGACCAGCAATTTAAAACAATATAAACCACGTCTGTGGGTTACATCACGTAACGTTGCAGGATTCAGTATAGACAAAGTTGGCTCCATTGTCCCTCGCTCGCGCGGCTTAGCAGTAACCTACAACAATCAGTTTTTCCAAAAGAGGTTTTCTTTGTGAACACTCTGTACCTTTATTGTCCTTGCCATAGTCAGTCTTCAGGGTTCTAACCCCTATTCCCTCCCCCTCCAAAAAGTTTAGAAATCATCGGTGTATCGTTTTCAGTATCGATGACAAGAGAAAGTAAACTGTGCTTCACAAAACCAATCACTCGGAAAGACATTGATCCAAAAGCAAATTATTCTGCGTAAAAATTGTAACTGTAATATGTATTTTACAGTAAAAAACTAATTTAATTGGTTTAAGAGATTTAAATAAAAGGAAATAGATAGAGCATAGAAACTAAGTGTGTATTAATTAAAGGGTTTGTCAGGATATGTAAGTGAAAAATCTGGATGAAGTTACTTAAAAACAAACTTCTCTAAGACAATACTAGTTTAACAATTTGTTTTCCGAAGATTTTGAAACCAATAAGTAAACACGCAAGCAATCATTCATGATAGATTTTCGAAATATGTCCTGTTCTTAGTCTTATACATTGTCGGTTATTTTAAAACACGTAAAATCGGTAGGCAGGCCATTATTTATATTAAAGTGCTCATAGGCGTACGGGCCGGGGGCGAGGGGGCTGCAGTTTCCCCAAGATTTTTTGGGCAGCGAGAGGAAATTTGGGCAAAGCCAGTTTTTCAAAGGACGTTTCCGTGTTCATTTAATTATTTTAAAGACCTGAATATTAACCTGAAGTAGGCTTAATAATCCAGTTACATTACAGTGGTTGCTTAGCATGTGATGAGTAATTTACATATTTGCAGTTTTTTTTTTTTTTTGATGGGCACTATACTGCACTGCACTAGCTGGAATGGGCTATTTCCAGTCGAGAATTGATTAAAATAAACTTTCGCATAACTTTCTAGAATCATCTCCACTCGAAGAACAGTGTATGGCAGATAGCATTTAGCAATGGGTATTGCCTGCATAGCAAGCGTTTCCGCGCGATTTCGACTGAAAACGCTTCAATGGGTATGAAAATGAAGAAGTGGCTGACTAATTCTCAGTTTGAATTACGAGAAGAATCTTTATTCTTTTAAAAAATCTATCGAGCGGTTTAAAATTATTCGCTGATTTGTTAAAGTAGACCGAAATGTTTACAAAACCGCTAACAAGAGTTTCTCGATACATACTAATCAAATCCTTCTTTCGATTCTAGCAATCAAGCAGAGCTATCTCCACGATCTTTCACACATGTTTTTAAAAAGATTAAAACTACTATGAGGTGAAATTGCAGGACAAAAGCGCTTCGTTTTCTACGGATAACGGCCAAAAATCAAGATTTTCCTTTTCTTACCGTATTTCTAATAATAAAAACTTCATTGCAAAATATCTCGATAACGCTCCTAAGGTTTTGCTTCAACTTCACGAACATCGAGGCGACCGTATTGGAGAAAAAAGCTCCTGTGAACGATTTTGTAAAGTTCCAATGCCGAGAATCATTGCTGAAGTAAAATAGATAATGGGGTCATTTCGTTGCTATGACAACTCCGATGTCATTGCAACTCTGATAATGCCAAATTTTCATCTTAATACCACTGTGGTCGCAGTTTTTCCAAATGTTTCTTTATGGCGACGTAGTTTATGCTCAGACTTCGTATTGACCCTGAAAAACTGTATCGAGCCACCTTCATATGCCAGGACGGCCTATGTTGTTGCAATAATTATGGCCCTCATTTCTTTTCGACTCTTTCGTAAAAATTTGGGCAACTTAGGAGTTTTTTTTGAGCAAATGGTTTACCGCCCCCCTGGCAAAAAATTTCCTGTACGCCTATGAAAGTGCTGCTCTGGATGACAATATTCGAGTATTGTGAAAAGCATACTGAAGCGATATTCCAAACCGAATAAGAAATTGTTGTTATTAAGGGATGAAGGGTGGAGAATTCACAAAACGTTATTGTTACAACACTACCAAACGCGCATTACTTGTCCAGCCTGACTAATCTATTTGAAACGTTTCCCATTTATTGACGTTGACGTTTATTCGCGTGCCAAGTTGAAACTTTTAGCTAGATAAGGACAAAAGAACGGGATAAACAACAAATTCCTTTAAGAGGAGTTTTTCATTTATTCAATATTATGACATTGATTGATCTCCATTACACGCGTACGAGGGAACGATATTTAAATGCTTGACTTAAAGGAGCTGTGTCACGAAATTCAGCCAAATTAGGAAATTACAAAATGCCCGTTAAATTAAGAGAAACAAAAATAGCCGCTTAAAACTTTTAAGGAAGGTTAAAACAACATAACAGAAACAACAGATGCCACGAATGGGCAAACGACTGGAGAAGATTGAAACGGATTGAAATTAGGGTTTTTGAAAACTGTTCAGCCTAACAGTTTTTCAAAGTTGATCCCTGCTGCTTGCAACTTCAAAAATAATGCTCAAGAGACATATTTGTTTGTCTCGGATCTCTGATTTTGTCATTTACCTGTAATTTCTTTGCTTACTTTAGTGATTGAGGGCGAGTAATTGACAAAATTAAACAAAATGAACTGGACTGCCGTGACACAGCCCCTTTAAGTCTGCAGTACGTATTTCTATTTTTTGGCGAAAATATTGTTTTTTTCTAAAAGAGTATAAATTACAAATGCCAAACCTATTATTCACATTTCATTGAACTAATGAAGCCATGGGTTTTACAACGAAGCTCTTGGGAGTCTTACTGCTGCTAATGTTGCCAAGGTACATAGGATATCTTATGATATGCTGTTGTACAATCATACATGTAACAAGCCATGAAACTAACTTTCTTTTGCATCCTCTTTTTTCAGCTTCACCTCCACTTAAAGAAAGTAAGTGTAAGAGAACTGAAGTGACTAGAATGAGACATTTAGAATTGTCTATTGTGCTTTGCATTTTTGACAAGGGAACGAATTTTCTTCTTCTTTTTCTGCTTTTCGAAATTCATTCTTCACACCAATACCTTTTTCTTCCTAAATGGTTGTTTGTTCGCATATAGGCTACTCTTCTACCCTTTTAATGACAATCAGTTGACGTAGTAAATGGTTGCGGGTTATAAAACCTAAGGTGTGTTTAGAGCTACTTAAAATCATTTATGACAGCTTCTTTGGGGTAGCATTTTTATCCAACACGCCCCTCTAGGCTTCCAGTAGTACTGAAATTGGTCAGTTTGATAGAGGTTTACATGTAATAATCAAAACTTGTTTTAGCATTGCACAAACGGAGCCTTTCAATATACAACGGCGTAACTTTGTAACTAGGTTAAAGGAGCTGTGTCATGAAATTCAGCCAAATTAGGAAATTAAAAAAAATTGCCCGTTATAAGAAAAACATAAGAATAACCGTTTAAAAATTTAAAGGAAGTTAAAATAACATAACAGAAACAACAGATGCCACGGATGGGCAAAACTGAAGAAGATTGAAACGGATTGAAATTAGGGTTTTTGAAAACTGTTCAGCCTAACACAGTTTTCAAAGTTGATCCCTGCTGCATGTAACTTCAAAAATAATGCTCAGGAGACATATTTGTTTGTCTCGGATCTCTGGTTTTGTCATTTACATGTAATTTCTTTACTTACTTCAAGTTCCATAGCGATTGAGGGCGAGTAATTGGCAAAATTAAACAAAATGAACTGGACTGCCGTGACACAACCCTTTAATTAAGTTTTTTTTTTCTTTTTTGTATTTGTTACCATTTTTTAGGATTACTTGAAGTTCTCAATTTGACCAAATACAGTGGTAGGATGAAAAAAATAGTAGCGCTATTTTAATCGATTTCCCATCTAAGCATATCAAACTCCATATGTAATTAAACAAACTTAAAGCAAGGGGCACAAATACACCAACCCATGGCCTGGCCAGTACCTCACGTATGTGTGGGCAGTGACGACCATGGACAGCTGTTTCGCCCTTATTAGGGCTCATCGGCATGGCATAACCGTCGTGTCAATGAACGGGGTGAACCCGTGTCTCAAAAACACTTCCATGGCTGCCACTACCCGGGTGATATGGCTGAGCGCATGCGTGAGGTAATGGCTAGTCCGTGGGTTGGTGTATGCGTGCCCCGTGCTTTAAGTTTGTCTTTGTTTCATATGTAATGCAGGAAACGCGTAAGAAATAAAACTGTGGGCCCCAGCTAAATTCTGAACGCCTTATGGCAATATGATTGCAGCGAAGACTTAGCCTGCCCTACAGATGAAACTAAACCAGCCCTGATTAAGTCTGTCTGTGAAACAGCACCGAAAACTGAAATTTGAGTCCTACTATGATTGCCCTGCTAAATAAGCCATTGTCGATTTGCCATTCAGGCTGAAGGGAAATTCGAAAAGTATTTTTGGTAATTGGCTGAGTCTGATGGGCGCTGGTTCGCAGACGGTACTGAACAATGTTTTCTTCATGTAGCCATCGCAGTTTCCCCAAGCAAAAAATGGTCACGGAACGAAATTGACTAAGAGGTGGTGAACTCCCAGAGGAGACTAGAAGAAAAAAAATTGTAATTAGGCTAGTAAAGTTTCGGTCTGTTGTCGCCCTCCACCAATCACATTTCGTTTAATAAATTTTTGTATGTTTTTTAAATATTGTAATCGTTTATTCAATTGTCATCGTTTCTCACTTAGCTTTTGTATCCCTGG